CCATCCAAATTCCCAGATACCAGCCAAGAGCAATTCTTGTAAGTAGACCTTTTGAAGCACAGTAGTAGTCTCAGGTCTGTTATGTTAGCTCTTTTCTGCATTGGAATTTTGGCACAGAATAGATGAAAATGGAATAAAATAAAAGTGTGTGAAAGAAAATGGCAAAAGACCCCAGACTAGTACTTCATTCCAGTTTATGACAAAGAAATAGTTCTTTACTTTCTCAATACTAACTCCATCTAACACTGAGGCTCTTGACTCATGTCAGAGCCAACAGCAAGAGCACCGCACAGCTCTGCTCATCTGACTGGCTCTGAGTGGCTGGGAGTCCATGTATTCTTCTGAATTCTTCCATTCGACTATGCCAGGGCAGTTCCTTCTCAATCCCTGCCCAATGTACTAACTGTTGGGAACTTAGTCCACGCTCCTCCTTTATCTTCTACTCACTAGTCACAAGTGTTCTCGGCAGTGGGGCAGACAGAAAAGCCATGAGAAGTTGTGGGTGTATAAGAATGAGTCTTTATTGCAGAAACCAGTGGCTACATAGCCATCAGACAAGAACAGTCCTCACGGTGAAGTCCATATAGGCAGCCAGCCAGACACCGGCTGGTAAATACATATCTTTCCCATAAAGCAGCATTAATCTCTGTACCCACAGCTATTATCTGAGGAGCCACACACTGCCTCTTAGACTCACAGTCTCACATCATAGTGGTATCTGAGTTCTCCAGCTCAGTGGCTTCTCCTGTCTCTCCTGCCCAGCTGCTCTCTCCAGCAGACTTCTTCACACTCCAGCCAACTAGCTGGTCAGTGACTTACTTTTACACTATTTAGACAAAGAAGGCTTCATGCCAACAGTGACATCAATCATAGTGGCTACTGAAGGGCAGTGTATCGTGTGTCTTTGGACCCGCTCATGGTATCTTGGCCTGATTAGGATTCCCAGACTCAGAATCCTTGGATGTTTAGATTAGGCTCATGCCCAGAGTCGCCTTTGGCCATTCTGGTGTATTGATAATAAGGCCTCTGTGCTCCCACAGCCTTGACTATCCAGGGAGCTGGCATGGTTCCCACACAACTCATCACCTTGAAACACCTCAGATGATCTGATGTTACTCACTAAATCAAGTGTCTGGGATGACCAACTTTGCCACAATGTGTATGACCTTGGAGAGGATGATTTCTAAGAACTTTCACAGCACTTATCTATTACCTTAATCAATTGGGTATCTGTAAATATCTCTATATGGTACTGGACCTTTTATCACATAGGCCCATTTTTCCACTTAAAAAGTCTTAATCAATTAAGTCCTTCTTTCCCTTCCCCAGTGTTACTCTTCTGACTCAGACCCTCTCCCCTAGCTCATTGCAATGTTTCCTACATTGGTTTTCCTGTTTCCAGTCTCTCCCTGATCTAATTCACTGTATAGCCCCAGCCAGGTTAAGATTACTGAAATAAAATTCCACTCATATTGCTTGCACAATCAAAGGCCTTCAATGATCCTTCCAGGACCAATACAAACTCCTGAGCCTATTACTCCACAATATAGCCTCTACTTGCCTAATCTTAGCTTGTCTTTCATCGCCTTCCAGTAGTAATGCAAATTCTGGTCAAAATGTTGTCCATTCTTTGTGCCATTGCCCTCCACTAGAAGGGTCCATTTCTCCATTTCTATCCATCAAATATTTTACCTATTATTGAATGACCACCTTAAATTGGAAAGCAACATTCTTCCACAAAGGCCATTCTCCACATTCAAAGTCTTTTATTCTCTAAATACTTTCCCACCCCTACAAGGACACCACATACACATACATATTATAGTATGGAACAATTCTACCTGTACAAGAGTCATGTGTATTCTTATCCAAATGGTATGCTGCAGAAGGACATTATTTTCTTTGTAGTCCTGCTGCACCCAGCATGGAACTTGACATGCTGTAGGCACTCACCAAATAGTGACTTCTTTGAACTGAAATCAATGCAAGTCCCATATAAGCTATAGTCCCAGTGCAGAACCAAAAAATAACTAATGTTGGAATACCTCAGAGGGAAAAAATACATCTGTTACTGACCCACCAAATACAACACTGCTTTAACTCTATCCTCGTGTGGAATATGGAATCAGAAACTTAGAACTGAAAGGGATTCTTTAGATCGGTGAGTACCAGTCCTCCTTTGACAGATAGGGGAACGCACACCAAGAAAGAAATATGTTATTCAAAATCATACAGTGAATCAGTGAAGGAGCTGGCTTGAGAACTCAGGACAGCTGGGTCCCAGGCCATGGTTTTAACTGCAAGAAATACTATCATACATGATTCTCGGTTGAGGCAGGGTACGAAGAAAGCATTGCAACAGGAAACTACCAAAAGGTATAGCTGGCAATGGAAGAGGGGACATGTTTTTTAACATACCTCTTGTAATTGAGATTCTTTCTTTTTGGAAGACAGATGTAAGTGTCGATCCAACAAAGAATAAAACCTCTCACCATCCTTTTCAAATTTCTTTTTCCGCTCCTAGACATGGAAGAGAAGGCACAGATTAAGATGTCTATAGTTTTAATTCCATTTACTCAGAACTGAGAACGCAGGGCATAGTGCCAGGTTTCATGTGGCCAATCACTCTATTTCCTGGGAAGAAAAAAATAGCTAGAGTGTATTTGCTTTTGCATTGGTCTTGGTAGTTTTGACTTCCACAAATATAGCCCTCAATGGCTCCAACTAGACAAAGAGTAGTTCCTACCAGTACAGCTAAAGGATATGGAAGCTGCTGCTCAGAGAATGACATTTGAAAATGGGCCTGAATGCTGGGTACTTTTATTCTCTCCAATTTTCTCATAGTCATTAACTACTCATTTGATTTTTTTAAAAGGAGAAGAAGGAACACAGTAGTGAACCAAATATGTGCCTTTAGAAGGTTAATCTACAATGTATTCAGACAACATAATAATAATTAAAACATTTCCAAGGCAATAGATTCTTTGGTATTGTTTAAGCATTTCACTGCTGCATATTATAAGATGATGTTATAGATGATTAAAATATCCTGAAAGGTTTAGCTGGAAAGCAAGAGTTGGATAATTTTATGGGGGAATGGAGGACTCAATTGTCACTCTCCTCAAGTATGAAATTCCATTAAGCTCTCAGCCTTTCAGCACAACGGCCTCCAAAGGAAGACTAGCCATGCTTGTTTGTCATTGACTAATGCTGACACCCTGAAATCCTGTCAGCAATGTGCTGGAAAATTCAAGTAAAAGGCTTGTGTTGTCTCACAGAAAATCCAAATTCATTGAGCACCTGCAGTGTGCCAGGTACTGGAAGAGGCACAGCAGAGGATATAGATAAAAAGAAAAAATACCTCAACCCATGGTTTATTTCTAGAGGCCATCTGTTGCTAGGCAGGAAGCCAGGACAGAACCGAGTGACCTGACTTGTAAGAAATGTGCTTTTACCAGAGGGAAAGAAATAGAGAGGAAGCTAACATTAAGTGAAACCTACATCAGTCCAGGCAGTGTGCTAGGTACTTAAATTCCATGATCTCATTTAGTATTCACAATGCTGAGAAGTAGATATTGTAAAGAAAATTAAGGTTAAAAAAAAAAAGGTGAACTAACTTGTCCAAGGTCACAAACATGCAGATCTATACAATTCATTCAACATAGTCAGATAAAACCCAAATGATTATTAGAGAAATTACACTTAGGTGGCTTATAAGTAATCACGAAGCCTTGTGAGTAAACCTCAAGTAGGTCTACAGCCGGAGCCCCAACTCAGATACCAAAACACAGGACAGAGATTTTCACACAAAAAATAGGGCAAACTGTCCTTCCAGCTGCTGAATCTACTTAAAGTATCAATTGTTTGAAGAAAACATAGCAGCCAGAAAAATAGCAAAGACTTCTGTGGGTGACTTTCTATTCCACTTCCATTTTTAAAATAAAAACTATGAGATATTAAAAAGAAAAAACTATGAGATATAATTCACCTATAAAATTCAACCCTTGTTTAAGGGGACCATTCAGGACGTTTTAGTATATTTAGAAAGTTGTGCCACCATCACTGCTATCTAATTTCAAAATATTTCCATCACCTCAAAAAGAAAGCCCATACCTATTAGCAGCCATTCCCCACATTCCCCCACTCCCGGTCTCAAGAAACCACAACTGACTTTCTGTCTCCATGGATTTATCGACTACAGACATATCAGATCACTGGAATCATACAATATGTGAATGTCTTCTTACACTTGGTATAATAGTTTCAAGGTTTACCCATTTATCAGTACTTCATTCCTTTTTATGGCTAAGTAATATTTGATTGTATAGATACACCACATTTTCTTTTTTTTCTATGACGTTTTTTCTTTATTGATTAAGGCATTACATGTGTCGTTATTGCCTCATTGCCCCCCACACCCCAACTCATGCCCTCGCCCTCCTTTCTTTTCTTTTTAAAATATTAACATTTTAGAGAGAGAGGGAGAGGAAGGGAGAGAGAGATATGGATGTGAGAGCGAAACTTAAATTGGCTGCCTCCTGCACAATCCATACCAGGGATGGAGCCTGTAACCTGAGCACATGTCCTAACCAAACAGAGAAGAATGCCCAACCAACTGAGCAACATTGGCCAAGGTATGCACCACATTTTCTTTAATATCAATTAAGCATAAATATATACGTTTATTTATGGAGTCTCAGTTCTATTCTATTAATCTATATGTCTATTTTTATGTTGACACCACAGTCTTCGTTTCTATAGTTTTGTAGTAAGCTTTAAAATTAAAAATTGTGAGTCTTTTTCAAGATTCCTTTTTCTATTCTGGTGCTTTCTTCATGGATTTTAGGGTCACCCTATCAATTTGAACAAAATGATCAAAAGGGATTTTGCTAGATATTGCACTGAACCTATAAATCAATTTGTGCGTACTACCATCTTTACTATATTAAGTCTTCCAATTCATGAATATGGAATGTCTTCCTACTTATCTATTTATTTAGGTTTTTCTTAATTTCTTCCAATAAAATTCAGTGTAAAATCTTGTATTCTTTTGTTAGATTTATGCCTAAGTACTTCAATACTTTCATACTACTGTAAATAAGATTATTTTCTTAATTTAATTTTCAAATTGTTCATTAAGTGTGTATAGAAATAGTTTCAGGTGTGCAACATAGTGGTAAGAGCCAAGGGTGGGCAAACTTTTTGACTCGAGGCCCACAATGGGTTCTTAAACTGGACCGGAGGGCTGGAACAAAAGCATGGATGGAGTGTTTGTGTGAACTAGTATAAATTCAAAGTAAACATCATTACATAAAAGGGTACGGTCTTTTTTTTTTTTTTAATTTTATTCATTTCAAACAGGCTGGCTCCGGCCCGCGGGCCGTAGTCTGCCCACGGCTGACCTAATACATAATCACAAACCCAAATACAAAGTCAAAATGAGGAGACAAAGAAACACCGCCAAATGAAAGAACTACAGAATTCTCCAGAAGAAAAGTTAAATGAAGCAGAGATAATAAATTTATCTGAAACAGAGTTCAGAGTAATGATAATAAAAATTCTCAACACCATGAAAAAAGATATAGTAACTATGAAGAAAGAACAGTATGAGATAAAGAATGAAATAAAACAAATAAAGAACACATTGGAAGAAATACAAAGCTGGTTATGTGGTAAGCTGAGGATTGAATCAGAGAATTAGAAGACAGAGCTGATAATGTCACTCAATCAGAAAACCAAAAAGGAAAAACAATTAAAAAACAGAAAGACAGCTTATGGGAGCTGTGGGACAATGGAAAACATGAAAATATTAGAATAACAGGTGTGCCAGAAGAGGCAGAAAGGGAGAAAGGCATAGAGAAGTTGTTTGAAGAAATAATGGCAGAAAACTTCCCTAACCTGGTAAAGGGAAAAGTCACACAAGTTCAGGAGGCACAAAGAACCCCAAACAAGAAGAACCCAAACAGGCCCATGCCAGATACATCAATGATTAAAATGCCAAATATTAAAGACAAAGAGAGACTCTTAAAGGGACCAAGAGAAAAGAAAATTGTTACCTACAAAAAAGTTCCCATAAGGCTGACACCTGATTTCTCATCAGAAACTCCCCAGATACATCATAATTACATGCCAAAAATTAAATACAAAGAATCTTAAAAGCAGCAAGAGAAAAAAAAATGTTATCTACAATGGAGTTCCCATAAGGCTGACACCTGATTTCTCATCAGAAACTCTACAGGGCAGAAGGAAAAGGCATGAAGTACTTAAGGTAACGGAAAGCAAGCATCTGAGACCAAGATAACCATATCCAGCAAGGCTATCATTCAAAATAGATGATCAAATAAAGGGCTTCCCAGACCTTCCCCCCAAAAAAAGGTCTAAAGGAGTACATCACCACCAAGCCAGCATTACAAGAAATGCTAAAGGGATTTGCTGGGGTCCAGCCCCAGCAGGCCCAGGGGTCCCCAAAGGTGTGGACGGAGTTGGAATGACACGGATGACACGGAGACAGCGTTCAGTTGATCAGCAGCCTAGGCAGGATCTCTAGCCAAATTCTAGTCAGGATCTCCAGCGAAGTTCTGGTTAGGATCTCCAGCCAGGTTCTGTGGTCATGTTCTCTCGCTAGGTTCTCCAGCCAGGTTCAGGTTAGGTTCTCCAGCCAGGTTCGGTCGCCAGGTTCTGTAGCCGGGTTCTCTTGCCAATTTCTGTAGTCAGGTTCAGTCCAGGATCTTTTGCCATGTTCTCTCCAGCGAAGTTCTAGGTTCTGTGTAGGTTCTGTCTTCTAAGTTCTGTCTAAGTTTCTGTCTTCTAAGTTCTGTCTGTAAGTTCTGTGTTCTGAGG